TTAATCTTTTGCTCATATGGGCTGTTTATAGCTATAATTATAAATGACTGAATGAAATGGAGTAATTTCTGATTGGGTGGTTTGGGAAAGAAGCCCAAAAGGTTCCCCCAGTGCTCAGCAGTGAAAGGTGCTGAGTATCCCCTGAAATGAGCGGGGCCTCAGCATCCCTGAGGAGTGCTCAGCGCCCCTTGGCCATGGCTGGATCACACCCGGAATAACAACACTGGGGCAGCAGCTCAGAGAAACRCTCTGATTGAAGCTGAGGATAAATTGAAGGGAGGCAACCAAAGAGAAACTATTTCCAGACAGCCAGACTAGAATTTCAGTGCCATTTARCCTGATTCTTTGGGAATAAATTGTCTATGGAAGATTTCTTATTAGGGTTGAAGTGCTTAAAAAGCTTTATTGCAGGCTCACATACACATGCTGTCTGACAATGTGATGCACATTTTAATGCCATATTATTGTCTGGTGGACTTTCACATCCATATTGATTTTTTTAACAAAAAAAATTATAGTTTAATTCTAGTGTTTCATTGGCTTATACCCAAATTTAAACTAATTCAGGCATCTAAACTAAATCTATCTAAAGAAGGGTTTTTCCTATGACTGACAAGGGATTGTTAATTTTGTAATTAATTTGGAATGTCAGTTTCTATTAGTATTATTATGTAATAGCAAGCATCTCTTTYCATCCACCCCTGACTCATGTAAAATACTGATACGTGTTGAATTTTTAATTCAAAACTAGAATTTTCTTTTTAGAAATTACACAAGGTAAATAATTTGACTGGAATAATAGATATGACTATCTCAAAGGTCTTTTACTAACCGAGTCTCAAAAATGAACTAATGTAATTACTTTAAATAATAAATTAGATCCATGATATAAGAAAAAAAAAGCTAAAACTTTATCTTTTATTTTATACTTTGTGTTCACTTTATCCAGGCAGTGAAATCATGGCTATGGAATTGCTTCTGTAACACAAAGACAGGACAAACTTTATGGAATAAGAAAGACATTTGAGAGGAAAAGTTAGAGAAGGAGAGTAATTAATTCATTCTTTATAACAAATAGCTAATGACTGCTGCTATTAAAAAATACATGGGGAATAATTGACTTTTGCTCAGAAAAAAACATTATTGTCTGTTAGAAAATAATGATCCTAATACAAATAATAAATAAATAAAAGAAATGATCATAGAGAAAAATATGATCTTTACTTAGGTAAGGGACTTGGGATCCTTGCATTATTTATTTTATTTTTTGAATACTGCTGCTGGGGAACTGCTGAAAATCTCTTCTGTCACATGGCTTTCCACAGATCAATCTTGTTAGTTTTCTTTTGTTTTAATTACTGTGTTTTAATTAATGAATAATTTCAGTGTTACAAGATTAGGGAAGGAAGTTCATGTGGCCAACACTGCTCCATTTTAGCCCTCCTGGACAAGACATTCTAGTGGAGTTCCAGAAAAAAAGAATGGCTTTTGAGGCCTAGATGCTAGGTGAAAAGAGTTCAAGGGCAGACAAAGCACAGCAACTGCACGGACTGATTTTTTTTAAGGACAGTGAGATGAAGAGTAGTAAGAGGACATGAAAAAGGTCTCATAAYGAGTTTCTGTGGTTTAAAAGACGTTCTGTGACAGGACCTCCCTCCCTTTGAGTGCAGTGGTGGGATGGTACTGCAATGAACTGTCTTGTTTCCATTCTACGTGGCACCAGCTACGTGCATTTTCAAATATAAAATTGGTGGTGGTTTGGAGAAGATGGAAGTTTCTAACCCCATGATAATTTCCTGCAGACAGGAGACAGGGAAAAGGAGGTASGGATGGGCAGATACAGACAGGGAGTTACTGAGACCATAAAATAACTCTAAATATATAGGAAGAGCTACTGAAGAAATCAAGATTAGAAATAATTCAAGAAGCTGTTGTCTTCTGCAGAAGTCCTGTAGAATTTTGCCCAAATACCTGCCAGTTGAAATATTATTGCTGAGCTGTTGAAAATGCACAGGGTCTGAAAAAAAAAAATTTGGCAACTGATTATGAGGTTAGAAAAGCACTTTTTACAGTTACTTTTGGAAGTGAGKACAGCTTGCAGTTGCTCCCATTCTTGTTTCCCTCACTACTGCTGTAGTTTTAGGAGAAAAAAAACTCCTTAGGCTCCCATGTTCAGAGCCCCACAACTAAAATGCTGTGCCCTTCTCCATGTCTGCTTAGCAAAATTGATTAATTTCTTATGAAGAAATTGCCTGGTTGCAGAGGAAAGAGAAAAAGGCTCAATAAAATCAAAAGTCAAAGGAACAAACAGTGGCAGTAGCAAGACTGTGAGCCTTAGGACATCCGTAGGAATTGCTTCAGGAGTTAACCTCTGCAGCGTAACAGACATTCTTGGACAGCCCATTACACACTCCCTATGTTATTCTTTAAAATTATTTTGGTTGGAGGGTAAGTTTCAGTGTTTCAGATAMTGTAACAGTAGGAGAGTACTGAAGCAGCTGGCAAAAGCATCAGGGGAGCTGAAGACCCTGCTAACCACCAGCTGCTGGTTCAGGCCTTGAAGTTGGTATTTGTGCACAAAAGGAGCATTTCTAACCCAAGTGTCTGTGCAGASAGGGCAAGACAGAGCCCCTGGGCACTGCACAGCTGGCACAAYTCAGTTCTGGAGTTTCACAAGCATTTTCCTTTCCATCAGCCAATGTCCGAGTGAAGCCTCTGGGGGTAGGAGATGTCTTGACCACATCTGTCACTTTGAAAGCAGTGTTTTGGGTAGCTTTCAGCTCTGTTTTCTCTCTGGGGACAAAGCTTGAATTTTCTAAGAACAGTCTAAAATTGAAATTAGCCTTCAAGAGACCATAGAAAATGACAAGAAAATGCATATGTTTCTAGTCCAAGTCTGGTCTTGCACCTACAGGTATGAGCTGTGTTCATACCACAGCTCTCTCAACCATTTTCATCCTACTTTGGAAATCTGTCTTTGCCAGCTATTTCCTTTCATTTCACTGTTGCATATTTAAAGAGTTCTTTCACCAATTCTTTTCATTCTTGCCTGCTACTGTTTACTTGTACATTTTGATAACAAAATGCCTCCTAGGATTTCTCTTGGATGCTTTCTCCTCCTCATGCCCATTGGTTTCCACCCAACAGTGCTGTTTCAGGACCTGGGTATTTTCTCTAGTGAAAGTAGCTGCTTATGACGGTAATTTCTCAAAGCACTGTGTATGTCTGTGACAGCCAGCCACTGATTTTACTCTCAATTCTTGGGGCTGAAGATTTGTCTGATTCTTGYTCCATCCCTGGGAGCCATGACATCATCTGCATGGTATTCTGAAATTATACCCAATGGTCCTGTTTTTTCCTCTCAGACTTTATTGAAGAAATCTGTAATTTTTTTCAGGGTTGATGGTACTAAGTGTGTTCTACATGTCTTTTTGTGATTTATTCTCAATGAGGGTTTTTTGGTTTTTTTTTTTTTTTTTTTTTTTTTTTTTTT